AGATATTATAAAAAATTATCATATATAAAAATTTTTTCACATAAATAAAATTGTACCGATGCACTCTGAGTGCCCTAATAGTAGACCAAGGCCATCCACTGATCCTCATGTACTCTATCCGATCAATGAACCAACCTTTCTGCATCATTCTTGAAGGGTTTGTATCCCACTTTTTTCACTCTACTTTTCCAATCTCTCAATTTCTTCCCAAATGAAGCCATTATTGTTCTCTTCATGGATTCATCTACATTCGTATGAGCCTGCATTACAATTATACACGCTTGTAAAGATGATGCTTTTGAGCCCTTATTGTTAGAGCTATGGAAGATATACTTGCCAATGCATCTCCTGCATCAGATAATATTGCAGGTATTGAAATTAGTTTTCTGTTTTTTTGGTTAGTAGGTATGGAAATTAGAAATCAAGATTTACTTTTATATTTGAATTAAGTAGGCTTCTACTAACTGTTGAAGTACTTTATCTTCATCAGTTGGCGTGGATCAAGTTACGTTTTGGATTGAGTTCATTAGCTGAGAAATGATAATGTTCTTAAATAGAACAAAATGTTGTATAATTCTAGAAACTTAATGAAAACATGAGGAACATAAAACAGGATGTGCATATATAAAAAAATATGAGAAACATAAAGAGGTGATACACTTCATGCTAGTTAAAAATGAAAAATTAAAAAAAGCAAAGGCAAACCTTTTATTTATTAACAAACATAAAGCTGTTAAAAATGGATTTCATTAGTCAATTTAAATTTTCACCTTACTAATATTATATGTGGAACTAACCTCATTACTTTTGTAATTGTGAAAATAAAGCAAAAATTTTCACCTTATCCGTATTTACCTTTATCTCCCTCCATATGTTATCTTTGTTTTGTTGTGGGACATAATGCCAAGTCGTAAAAGTGAGTGGTGCAAGACTCCCATCTCGTGCCAAAACACCCAAATGTGAAGCAAGGGATGTGTATCCTTTAACTACTTGATTCAACTCATTTGAAGCAACATTTAAAACACCATTTTCACTAGTACCCCATGGACCATGCACATATGTGGGACCCCTCGTCTTCTTTTGTGTGGCTTGACTTGAGCTAGGACCTATAAAACAAAGCTGAATTAATAATCGATCAGAAATAGAGCTGGATTAATAATCCATCAAAAAGAACCATGTGTCCAAATCACATAGATGGCAAACAAAACTCAAGTTTTTGCAGTTGTAGCCACAGTAACAAAAGCCAGTAAAGGTCAAATTGACGATGATTGAATAAAAACAACAGTTCTATGCACTCAAAAATCAGGTAATTCGCACAAAAAATGGCCTTTTAAAGTTTATACGTACCAGCTGAAACTGAGCCATGTGATGTACTACTGCTATGTGACGTGGTAGGAAGACTACCTGGTGGATGCCATGATGCCGATGGATCAGGTATGACTCTCATCTTGAGTGTGGCCTGAGCCTCATCTGAACTAGAACTACTAGAGCTTGATTGCTCACTCTCACTAGAAGAACTGCTGGAGCTAGAACTCATAGATAATCTATAAAGAAACTACAAACATAAGAGTAAGGACATGATAATCTATAAAGAAACTACAAACATAAGAGTAAGGACTATGAATAAAGTTTACCTTCTTAAATGACTACAATCCATGCAATGCAAGATGATAAATCTATACATTTAAATATAATGCAAAATATAAAATGACAATTCAAAACAGAATCATAGTACGCAATCTATAAATGGCCACTTAAAGAAAAGATTACAAAGCAAAGATTTTATTAAAGATTAATAAAATAGCAAGCACCATCTATAAATAGCAAGTACCATCTATATTGCATTATTTACAAGAAAGAAAGAAAGAAAAACAAAATCAATTTGCAAATCATATCAAGTTTGTCACTAGAAGAAATCATTACTCTATGAGTTCTGTTTTGACATTAAGAGTAACTTTTTTGCTTCTTGCTCTATTCATAGTGTTGCAGTAAATTTATCCTTATTCACGACAGCAAGTGCTCGTAGCAAAATATGAAGTAAAATATGAAAACTCCATCTATACAGAACAAATAAGCAAAGGACAAGAAGATACCTTAGCCACTTCCAGAAATGACAAGACGTACGAGTCTTTTGACTTCTGCGAGAAAGAGAAAAATGTTAAATTACAATGTTGTACTAAACTCCAAGAAAAGGGTTGTTTACAAGTTCCTTACATAGGTATGAAAGGATCGGAATTTGCCACCACGAAATCAGCAACCCTACCAAATTGTGAAGTCCAATCAATTTTAGGTTTAGTAACGGATCATCAATAGTTCTTAAGATAAAATTTTCAAAAAAAAAAAAAAATCAAGATATTTAAATTGGATGGATGAATTTGTCTAGCATAAAAAGATGGGCGCCGGAGGGGGGGAGGGGAGATCAACTGCATGCTATACAACACATGCAAGACCAATCAAAAATCAAGATATTTAAATTGGATGGATGAATTTGTCTAGCATAAAAAGATGGGCGCCGAAGGGGGGAGGGGAGATCAACTGCATGCTATACAACACATGCAAGACCAATCATGTACTCTTTACAGCACTGCGAAGCAGGTTGAAGGCTTCCAACAAACTTTAGTTCCCCCTGCTTACAATAAAACTATCATTGAAATTTTTCCCGTTAAAAAATAAATAAAGAAATAAAAATTAACCCAAAGGACAAAAAGATATGGAGAGGAAGACAAGACAGTCTGGTTACACCACCACCATCACCGTTACAATAAAACTACCTACACTTTATATCAAAATATAATATAGAAATCAATAGAACCTATCAACTCATATGTAGCTTCTTAAATGACTTGTGTGGTTACCAAAATTTTGCACTATCTTAACAACAATAAGTAGTCAGTGAACATTTTCCATTTGATTTCTATTTCTTAGTTTCAGTATTACAAAAATACTTACTGCTTGAAGTTTGTCGACGTTCTTAAAGCAGATGATTTCATGGAAAGGTATGGACTCAATGGGCATCATATATTTTCTGATTCATAATCAAATCATCACAAGATTAAAGCATTTGAGCAGTGCAATATAATAGCACAAAGAAAAATTTTAAAAATAAAATTTCTCAACCAAGAGATTCTCATGGTTAAAGTTTTTTTCTTGATAGACATAATCAATGATTAATAACAATGAAATCATTAGCATTGGAAGGCAGTAACTTCACAGCTTGAAATTGACGTTGCAAGGCAGTAGCTTCGCATCTTGACACAATTCTCTAATTAATGTTGACACAAAATAAAATTCAAACAATTTTTGAGTCAAATCATCGTCATATTTGTCAAAGCAAAGCTCATGCTAGTGTGGCAAATATGTAAGGATATATTACCTACAGGTCAACACCCATAATCTTAAAATACCCACTCCTTCAAATTTAAGACCTTACTATAACATATTAGACATCACAATTGAAAAAACAGTAAGAAATTTCATTATTTCATCGGAATGTGCACTAAAGAGAATTCACTCTTAGTCAAATGCATGTACAACTGCCATCTTCTCACTTAAATTAGTCTACTTCCAAAATAAAATGGCCCAATTCATATCACGTGTGTGCCTAAGACTGTGTTGGGAATAGAGGGACAAGAATTTTAAAAACAGAATGAAGACTTTAATTAGGTTCTTGAATAAGCCTTTGATATTAAATGCAATGCAGTAGGACCAATGTGTGCTTGAATGATCACTATGTCCTCTCTCTTTTTATTAATTTTAAGCACCATGATTAATTGTTAGTTATTAACATTAAAAAAGTAACAACCTAGCTAAGGTGGTATGCACACTGCTGAAAAATTCACTTTTAGTGTACTGTCAATCCTGCACATGTGTGTTTGATGTATAGCCAAAATTGCTTTCACAGAATACTCATAATAGCAAGAATTCAAAAATGTATACTCACCAGGCAGATTTTGAAATCTATGGAGTGGAAAATCAGAGAAAAACCGTCATGTCAACATATTTTCCAGCGATGGTTCTGGCTGTTACCAGTCCAGCTGCCAAAGCAGCACCGAATAAAGCATGCAATCTTACACAGTAATTCTTTGCCATAAAGATCTTCATTTTGTCCTATAAGAATGAAGTCTCAACACCACAATAGAGAACTAATCCAATTTAGCTATTAAAAGAGTAACAACTAGGGTTCATAACCATCAAATCTGTAATTCTACTGTAAAATTGAAGCTCAAAATGTTACTTACTACTCACCTTGTGGTTCTGCTCAACGTAGTTGACGACTAGTTTTCCAACGGGCAAGGTTAGGGCACAGAGAAACTGAAACAAAGCTATGATTAGATTTAGAATAGTGGGACGGGTAAGTATGATGCACTCCAAATGGCACTAAAGATCATGTGACACCTAAATTAAGCATTCTTCGCATTAAAGAACGCTCTAAAATCAATGAACTTACAATGCAAGAAAAATAACCTCAAACTTCAAATATTTTCTCCTAACGAAATGAACATGAACTAAAAGCTGAATTGTCCCCTTCTTATTCTCTAAACAATTTTTTTTTCCACATCCATTTCATCTGTAAAAAATAGAATAGAATTGTTTCAATAGCTACACAATCTAGTAAAATGAGTTCTAATTTATGAAGAACCCCAATAGGCACGTGTATATGTATCTGGGTGTGTTTGTACACAAAGAGAGACATGGATTACATATAGCAAATCACATCAAACTAAGCCTTGTGTCCCAATCAAGTAAGGTCAGCTACATGAATCATTTTTTGCCATTCTACTCTACCAAGGGCTATATGCTCGGTTAAATTAAATAAATTAATATCTTTTTTAACTACCGCATCCTATGTCAGCTTAGGTCTTCCCCTCCACATCTTCTCCATTAGAATAATTAAAGAGTTAAATATTGGAATCTTGTATTAGTTATATTTAAAAAATCATATTCAATACTCCATTGTATTACACTTAATAGATTATTATAGGCTATTTTTGAATCATGAATTCGGATAGAAATTTGCGAAAGGAAACCCTTCACTTTTCCTTTCCCTTCACAAATCCCTTCCACAATCCATGATCCAAACGCAACAAAAAGTATTTTTGATCAATTCCATCGTGACACTTTCAAAGTCTGTAAATGATGAAGTGTTGCACAAGTTTCATATTAATAATACTAATGTTGGTATTAATATATTTTAAAATGGAAGTTTAATTGTGAGAAAATGTTGAAGTTCAAAATTAAATCAATAACTGTTTAAAATTAGAACATTTATATAATTAGATTGAGGGATTAAATTTTTCACAAATATATGAAAAAGGTCTAAGCGTAAAGTATATCTTTTCTCTTATTGAATCTTTTGTTAGTAGCATTGATATAGATTATGATATTTAGTTATTTCAGTTTGTTAGAAGTGTAAAAGAATGTGACATATTGAACCAGGTTGCAAGAAAGTTATGGTAAGTTGATTATTTTTCAACATAAATGCAATGGAGCAAATTGTCAAGATAACTCATTCAAAAAATCTTGAATATTAACACAAGACAGTAAATGATTGTTAAAAAGAAAGTAAAATAAATAAATAAATAATAGCGTTTGTCTTGGAAGTTGGATGCAGAGTTAGTACTGTGAAACAAATCTGTAAGAATTAATATGGTCCCTTGTAGTAGAAGAGTTGCAGAGATCCGTAAAACAGTGGTTATGGTACCATGAAGCAAAAATTTATGTGGTGCTTTGAGAAGTTAGTAAAAAAACTAACTTTTTGGCTTTTTTGTGTAAAAAAATTAAAAAGTCAAAAAGCTAGCATTTTTAGGAAGTTCCCCAATCTTGATTACATGCATTCTTTATCCAGACAGGAAATATGTAACAAGAAAGTTAAGAAACACAAAATAACAAATCCCTAATATTGTTTTCTCAGTTTGGCCTTGGCAATAATACTGGCACATGCTAAATCTTCCAAGTGACTTTTAACTAACCTCCATTTTTCTGAGGCTCTTTAAATCTCTCTGGTAGGATACTACTTCATTCTCCCTCACTTCCAAGATTGGGAATAAGGTAAGAAGTTAGATGAGATTTGGGAACCACCCTGTAAGTAGAATTAATGAAAAGCCATTAGATGCATCCCACTAATATACATCAAACATGTAAATACATAACAATATACAAAAAAAATAAAATAAAATGCAACGAGTCCATCGAATGAGAGCACAACACTTACATGCATATCCTTTCTATCCACGGGCCTAAACAAGTAGAGTAGAGGCCTTTTCAGGCTGGGCGTATTTAAAAAATGAGCATTCAGATTTGTACACAGGTTCTTCTTTACTTTTATTTTGCTTACACATACACAAACATATAATTATAAGGGAAATTTGGCCAAAACCCCTCCATTTGACCCTTATTTGGTGAAAATGATAACTTAATTTATTTAATATCAACTTTAAAACATATTTCATCCCAAAAGGCTCAATCATCTTTTAGCAAATAAAAACCTTAAAGAGGAAACACAGAGAGTGAGAGAAAATATATAAATCTTCTATGCTACCTATTTGTAGAACAAACAATAAAACTATTTAAATAAAATACAGTTACAGATCAAAACCATTGAAGCTGACTACCTGAGAGAACTAAAACAAATAAAAGAGCTATAGATTCGATACCTAAGAAAAACAAAAACATAGATCGAAATCAAAATCATCCAAAACAAGCTTGAGTCAGACCAATAAAAGGGAAGAGCACCTAGATCAACAATGGAAATCGAAATCCTAAGCAACCGTTTCAGTCAATCGAATGAAATCAAACTGATAGAATGTAAATCAAAACAGATCTAGATTGCTACTGTGCAGTCATGAAAATCTCTGAATCTCGAGTGAACACAGTGAGTACAGATTGAAAAGCCCTTTCAAAAAGATCCACGGCATTTTTTCAGCGCCGTGTAGAACGAAACCCTAGATAAATGAAAATCAAGGGAGATCGAACAATCTTGAAGAAAATTGGTCAAATCAAGGGAGATTAAACAATATCGAAGAGAGATCGAATAATCTTGAAAAAAATTAGTCAAATCGAGTGCACAAAACAAGATTTCAAAATAAAAAAATAATGAAAAACGATTGAGATAAAAGATCTAAGGTTTTGATCTACAATAGGCTTACTTGAAATCTTCATCATCAGTTGCTTCGTCAATATCTACAAAGAGAGCTTCATTCGTGCCATTTTAGAGAGAGAATAATGTTGGAGAAGGAGAAAGAGAGGGGAGAGGGTAATGAATCTGTGACTCTGATGTTTGGAAATAAAAGTTATATTCTATTAGGTTTGAGTGGCAGAGGTTTGTTTCTTTTTCTTTTTTTAACTCATTAATTAATTGGTAAGGTTAAGCATCAGCGAAGGCATGCATCTTGGAAAACGAGAAATGAAGACGTTTTTCAAAAAACGTCTTTTTCTAAGCGCCGTGACAATGAATTTTTCTTGTAGTGAATAATACATGCCAAGCTCCCGCTACGGAGTTACAAATAAATAATTACAAACATCAATGTACAAAAAGTCATTCTTGCACATCTACTGAAATTACACGTAACAAACACATGAACTTCTTAATCCTCCAACCAATCAATCCGACTTCTCTTCCTGTAGGAAAATGAAACAACATAGGGTGAGCATAATTGCCCAGTAGGAATCTCATAGTTCTAAAACAATAACCATTCTATAGATAGAAATGATCATGCATGCAGGGTGATACCATATAATAAGGTGACGCCATATAATAAGGTGACGCTTTGTAATGTCAAAATATCATATGCAGAGTACCTTTTATTGAAAATTTATTTGAACATTTAAGGAAAACCTTCAACTATAAAAATTATCCCTTATCATAAGAAAACGATAAATCCTTTTTGAAAAACAAATATGTTTAAGGAACAACATCATTTTAAATTTATTAACTCATTCCAAAATATTCCTCATTTAATTTCCATCTTAACATTCCACTTTTCATTTCCATTTCTCCCTTTTTACTAATTACATCTATTATAACTTCATAACCTCAAGTTCAAGTTCCCCTAATACTCCAAAACAGCCCTCATACACCCCATTCCCACCTGTCTATTCATAGTTACTGTAATTCCTTAACGTAGAAATCCAAACCTTCTTTATATTCAATAATAGTTATCCTATACTCAACTCCTACTTATCTAACAACTACATTACATCCACTCTTGCATTATCAATTACAAATCAACATATCACAACTAGGGCAAACAAGGGGTTTGTTACCGTGTGTCAGGGGTCGTGGGGTTTATTACCATGGGGTTTGTTACCGTGTGCCAGGGGCTAAGATTGCAAAAGGCACCGTGGGGTTCGTTACCGTGTGTCAGGGGCCTGTTTTAAGTATGGTAAACAAGGGCACATGGCCCGAGATTGTAATCAGAACAGTGGGAAGCTAGCTGCTAACTCAACTGCATCGATCCCGAAGCCAGGAAATACTTTGAAGTCTGCTACCACTGGGGATACTGTGAGATAGGGGAGAGTTTTTGCGCTTGTTCCGGGCGATACACGGAATGCCAACGCAGTTGTCTCAGGTACTATTTCTATATGTAATCAGGATGCTTTTATGTTAATTGACTCCGGATCCACACACTCTTTTGTGACATTTGCATTTGCATCTAGATTGAATAGAACCTTAGAATTACTGCCATATCTGCTATGTGTGTCTGCTCCATCTGGGGAATCTGTATTGTGTGAGTCTATATACCGGTTTTGTGATATGCGTGTTGAGGATGCTATCCTATATGTGGATTTGTTGCCCTTGAATTTTAGACATTTTGATGTAATTTTGGGCACGGATTGGTTGACCAAATATTGTGCCACCATTGATTGTGTGACAGAACAGGTTGTGTTTAAACCACCAGAGCAGAAAGAGATTGTGTTTGTGGGTAATGGGGTAGTGCCTCCACCTTATTTGATATCTGCAATGAAAGCATGTAAACTGATCAGGAAAGGGTGCCAGGGTTATTTGTGCTATGTGTTGTCGGAACAATCTGTAAATATTGAATTGAATGATATTCCCATTGTTAGAGAATTTCCAGATGTGTTTCCAAATGAATTACCAGGGGAATTGGTAGATAGGGAGATAGAGTTTACTATTGAAATTATGCCAAGCACCCAACCCATTTCTAAAACTCCCTACAGAATGGCTACTGCCGAAATGAAAGAATTGAAAGAACAATTGCAAGACCTGCTTGACAAGGGATTTATTCGACCCAACACTTCGCCTTGGGGTGCACCAGTATTGTTTGTGAAAAAGAAGGATGTAACTTTGCATTTGCGCATCGATTATCGGGAATTGAACAAGGTAACGATAAAGAACAAATATCTCCTACCCCGTATTGATGACTTATTTGACCAGTTGCAGGGATCACAGGTGTTTTCTAAGATTGATTTGAGATCCAGGTATCATCAGTTGAAAGTTAAGGCAGAGGATGTTGAGAAAACTGCATTCAGAACGAGGTACAGACATTTTGAGTTTCTTGTTATGCCATTTGGAGTGACTAATGCTCCGGCAGCATTTACGGACTTAATGAACTGAATTTTTAAAACCTACCTTGACGAATTTGTTGTGGTCTTTATTGATGATATTTTGATATATTCTAAAGATAGACTTGAACATGAACGTCATTTGAGAACTATCCTACAAATACTTCGGGAAAGGAAATTATTTTCTAAACTAAAGAAATGTGAGTTTTGGTTGGATGAAGTTGTTTTCTTAGGGCACGTGATCAATAAAGAAGAAATTTCAGTGGACCCACAGAAAATAGAGGCAATTGTGAATTGGCCTACACCGACAAATGTGACAGAAGTTCGTAGTTTCATGGGCTTAGCTGGTTATTACAGAAGATTTGTGAAAGAATTTTTGAAATTAGCTGTGCCTCTTACCCAATTGACACGAAAAGGGCAACCGTTTGAATGAAACGACAAAAGAGAAGCTGACTTTCATGAACTGAAAACAAGACTGACCACTGCACCAATTTTGACACTACCTTCTGGTATGAAGAATTTTGTAATTTTCAGTGATGCGTCTTATAAAGGTTTGGGTTGTGTGTTAATGCAGAACGGAAAGGTTATTGCTTACGCCTCCCGACATTTGAGGCCACACGAGAAGAATTATCCAACACACGACCTAGAATTGGCCGCAGTTGTTTTTGCTTTGAAAATCTGGTGGCATTATCTGTATGGAGCAAAGTGTGAAGTCTACACGGATCACAAAAGTCTGAAATACTTCTTCACGGAGAAGGAGTTGAATATGCGACAGAGGAGATGGCTGGAACTGATAAAAGATTATGATCTAGAGATTCAGTATCACCCCGGGAAAGCTAATACAGTTGCTGATGCCTTGAGCAGAAAATCAACGGGGAGTATGGCTTGTTTGCTTATTGAACAGAGAGAGATTTTGCAAGATTTTGAGAAGTTTGAAATTGAAGTGGTCATGTGTGAACAGGGCAGATTGATAGCTGCTATTACAGCCGAACCGACAATCTTTGACAAAATTAAACAGAAACAGAAAGAGGATGAATTCCTCAAGAAAGTGATGGATGAATTTGAGACAAGTCCGAAAGTAGAGTTCAGCATTGAAAATGAAGTGTTGAAATTCTGAAACCGAATGTGTATCCCGGATATTCCGGAACTCAAGAAGAGGGTTTTGGATGAAGCCCACAGATCCGTATTTGCTATGCATCCGGGTAACAATAAAATGTATCGAGATTTGAAACAAACCTATTGGTGGCCCAAGATGAAGAAAAAGATTGCAGAATATGTGTCCAAATGTCTTCAGTGTCAGCAAGTTAAAGCTGAACATCAGAAACCAGGCAGTCTACTTCAACCTCTCCCAATTCCTGAATGGAAGTGGGAGCATGTGACTATGGATTTTGTTGTTGGCCTACCTCGGACTTCTCGAGGTATGGATTCTATTTGGGTTGTAGTTGATAGACTGACTAAATCTGCACATTTTCTGCCAGTTAGAACTACATTTAATGCTTATAGGCTGGCTACCATTTATGCTGATGAGATTGTCTGTTTACACGGAGTTTCGGTATCTATTGTGTCGAATAGAGATCCGAAATTTGTATCTAGATTGTGGAAGAGTTTGCAGGAAGCTATGGGGACAGAACTAAGATTCAGTACTGCATTCCACCCACAGACAGATGGGCAATCAGAACGAACAATACAGACTTTGGAAGATATGCTTCGGATGTGTGCCTTGGATTTTCAGGGTAGTTGGGAAGACTATTTGCCACTCGCAGAATTTGCTTATAATAACAGCTTCCACTCTAGCATCGGTATGGCACCATACGAGGCTTTGCATGGTAGAAGGTGTAGATCACCGATTTGTTGGACAGAGGTCGGGGATAGAGCTTTACTTGGGCCAGAAATTGTGCAAGACACTTTTGAGAAAATCAAGATTATTCGGCAAAGGCTCAAAACAGCTCAGGATTGACAAAAGAATTATGCAGATGTTCGGAGGAGACCTCTTGAGTATGAGGTCGGTGACTATGTGTTCATTCGTGTGTCCCCAATGAAAGGCCAAGTCAGGTTTGGAAAGAAGGGTAAGTTGTCGCCCCGTTACATCGGGTCATTTCAGATTTTGGAAAGGCTTGGCCCAGTTGCCTATAGAGTTGCTTTGCCACCAGGATTCGAGCAAATCCATAACGTGTTTTATGTGTCGATGTTGAGGGGTTACCTCCGAGACCCATTTCATGTGATTGATTATCACCGGGTAGCTATTGACGAAAATATGGAATATGCTGAGTGGCCAGAACGAATTGTTGATCGGCAAGTGAAATAATTGAGAAGCAAGTCCATCCCAATGGTGAAAGTGGAATGGAAAGAACACTATGGGACGGATGCTACATGGGAAAAAGAGGAAATGCGACTACGCTATCCACATTTGTTTCCCGACGAAGGTAAATTAAGTTTGGACGACCAAACTTCCAAAAGGGGGGAAGACTGTGATATCCCTGTTCCGTAATATGTTAATTGGTCCTTAATATGAGTATGATTATGTGTTTAATGTGATTTTGTGTGCCATTATATGAAAATATGTGGTTTTGAATTTCTATCTGTTCACCGTAGGAATATCTGTTTGATTATCTATTTCAGAAATTAAATTGAAGGCCTTATCGGCCACCGAAACCAAAATTGATTGCGCCATTCTGATTGGCATAATTTTTAGAGCCTACGGTGAAGTTTAATTGAAAAATGGATTCAGATCAGATTAAATTGTT